TGGAAGGTATAGACACAGCAGTAGCAAGTGCTATATTAAGTTATTTCACCCGTATTAAGTAGAATATGTTCTGGTGACGCTAGGTAAAACACTGCTTCTGTTTAAGAATTTTTCTTGGGGGGGAATTAGTTAAACTGAACTTACAAGTAATGGGAAAGGACAGAACTAATTGTGTTTTAGGACCATAATTTATTCTTCAGTACTTTAACTGTAATACAATCTGACTAATATAGTAAGTCAGCCTTACATTTTGCAAGTTTAGTTTTAAGAAAAAATATTTTTCCCCAAATGTAAGTTGCAGACGGAGTCCTTGATCTGCTGTTGTCAATACAAAATTCCACAGGAGAGTCAAGTAACCACAGGGAATTTATATAAAAGTTTGTGTACACTAAAATAAAAATAAACATCCTGTATACCAAAGATAATTTTGCCTGAGGTTTCTGAGATTGCTTTCAGCCTAAAAGTCCATGGCAAAATATATCAAGACACACTTTGTTTATTGGTTTAAATGAAACCGTGTACGGGCTCTGTATTAAAGAGTTTGAATTACAGTTCTATATTCAAGAATCATTGATGTCAAATCCAAAATTCTGGATTTGAACCTCATTTTTAGAGGTTCATAATTCAGATGTTTTTAATTTTGAGGGTTGTCAGGAAGGAGTAATCAGGTGGTTGCATGGGAATACTCTAACAATTTTTTAAAATTTATTACTGTTGCAGGGCACTAAGGTGCCTGCTTCAAGGGTAGAAACTGCCTAGTGAGAGGGCTCCGTTGGGCAGAAACCCCACAGGTGCAGGTTATTGTGGCAGCAGCTTAATGAGGGAATTAGCCTTCATCTGCACCTGGTCAGCTGACCAGAAGAAGGCAGGGCCCTGGGGGCACAAACCCCAGGGCTGGGACTAGAGAGTTAGTTCTTAGGCTGTAGCCAAGGGGGAAGGAGCTCTTATAGAGGAAGCTAACTGGAGATGCTTGGCTACCTGTTGTGCTTCGAGTAGGATTAAGGAGCTGTAGGAGCTCATAGGTACTAGTGGTGTAGGGAGGCCCAGTAAATTGGGAGAGAAGCTTATCTTCTAAAAGGGAGTAGAGTGTGGACCCTGCATTATGCTTGTGTTGTAGCCCAGGGGCTTGTGCTTTCTGTTGTTTAAGCTGGTGGACTGGGCTGAGGCCATTGGGGAGGAGGAGACCTCATTGGGGCATGCTACAGTGTGGAGACCCCAGTGCCAGAGAGGGCACAGTGACAGGGGCAGCATACCCCAGCGCCAGAGGGAGTAGTTACTGAGGCTGGACTAAGCTGAGGCCTCAACACAAGAAGACAATGTCTACATAACATCTGTGAGGTATGGGGTGTGATAAAGGGGTGGTTTTGGGGTCACGCATCTAGCCCATATGGCTTGGGGATATCATAAGACCCGTCCTGAGTGTGGGACCCAATTAAGGGGGTCTAGCAACCCACGGGGTTTAGCGGAGTCTGTCTGGGCTGACTGAGCAGCAACTCAAGGACAGCCTCCCAATTAATCATTTATATTGCCAAGATGTAGCAGGTGAGATTAGTAGGTGCCCATAGGGTGGAGTTGATGCAGTCATGGTGTCCTAGGGACATTGGCCATCTCAGGTGTGGCTGTATCATGCCAATTACTTTTATTGAAATAACCAAGTCAACAGATTGACATATCTCTTGTTACTTGTTTTGAACCCTGCTTTAGAAGTTGGTTTAAATCACTTACCTGCACCCACAGGGGCTCCCAACTGTTGAGAACTGAACTGCAACGGTGTTTCCAGCCTGTGGGCACCCAGAGCCCTGGGCGGGACCTCCCTTGGTTTCCACCCCTTTGGGCTCTGATAGTTACAACTTGGCAAGGACTTGCAGCAGCTCTCCCAATGCTGGAGCATGGGAGGGGGGGGGGGGGGTGGGCTTTAGCCGCCTGTGGGTTGAAGGCACCACCATGGTGTGGCTTTCCTGGCAGGTTCTATTTGGGGGAAGAAAGGGAGGAAGGGGCACCTGACTCTGTGCAGCCCACCCCTATGAGTGCATTGAGTGTCAATACAGCTATGTCTGTTGAACAGTTGGGAGTTTGCTTCTGATGGTGAGTTGGGCAAGGTTGGGGGTTGTTTTGAAATCCAGGAGCAGTGAGACTGGGAATGTTTCCCTCAAAGTCAAGTATAGGCTTTAATTGTTTGATTCTTCTAATCTGTTCTAGTGTGATAGGTGACCCCTAGGTGTATGTGGTCACAGGAGGATTTCATTTTGTATTGTAGCAGATTACTATGGGGTATTTGCATGGCTGTTTCATTGATACAGTCAGTTTCTCTACAAAATGTCCTTGTTGTATAGAGGCAGACAGATGTAGTTACCCATGTTAGTTTAGTAGAAGGTAGAGTTGCACCTTGAAGCCTAACTAAAGTACATATGTGGCAGAGCTATTGTGAGCTGAAGTTCTCTTCATCAGATGTACAGATTTTGGGCTAGCCAGGTGACTGTCATGAGTGTGTCATGAGTATTCTTGTCAGGGCAGATGCAATAGTATCAGAGGACCTTACTGTAGATTACAGCTTTTTTGTGTGCTTGCGGTGATTGCTGGTTTTGCGAACATTAGTATGGAGGTCTGAATTTACTTGTATGTGGTGGCTTTCGGGGTGCCATCTCAGATGCATCTAGGAAGGTAATGTAGGAATATGTTAGAGGAAGTTTGTTTCATTGGTATAGTTGTTGAACCTGTGACGAAACTAGATAAGTGTTGACTAAATGCAACTGGACTCAGATGTTAACTTTTTTATATACTATAACTTGTTTGATTTCCTGAAGGTTTTCCTTCACCCTGCAGGTGATAATGACACTTGTCCCTTTTTGGTAAGTTGTTTTTGTTTTTTTGTTTGTTTGTTTTTTGTTGTTTGTTTCCACGTTTCCCATTAATCAAATCCTGGTGAATTTAGTCAACAACTATTTAACTTCAGCAAATGCTACAAATCCAAGTTCTGTGTTAGTAATGCACGCAAACCTAAACATTCTCAGTCTCCTACTTTAACTTTTTAGAATCCCTCTTTAGAAAATCTGGGGTAGAGAAATTCCACAAACAAGCAATATGAAAACCAAACTTTAAGCTTGTGCTTCTTTCTTCTGTGTTGGATGTACTTTTTCATTCTTGCTTTCTGTATTATGTTGTTTCTCTAAATTTATGGCAGTTCACAAACTTAAACGGTAAGATTGCCTGGTTTATATAAAACTAAATACTTTTATTTTAAAAAACAAGATCGGTCTCTTGAGTAGTTTTTGACATGCACGTAATAAAATGCTGTTTTACAACATGATGGATAATCTTAAAACTTTATTAGAAGAATGGGGGACCAGATGCAGGATGGGGTTTCTAGGTCACTCATTCTTTTTTTATTTTATATATTTAAATAACTTAACATTGAACAGCCATTTAAGAGTACTTCCCAACTGAATTTAAAAACGTTAATCTTGCTCAGTGTTTTCAAAATGTGTGTCCACATAACTACACTAGACTAAAGAGTAATGCAGGATCCATTTTATTGTGACCATATAAACAGTTGATTTAATTCTTCCAGGTTTAACTTGCTACTCTGTGCAAGATACTATGTTAGTAAATCTGTTTGGTCTTTTTGGTCACATACGCCTCCCTGTGGTTTCCTGGACAATAAAGGTTTATTAGTTCCTTTAATTTTTTTGAAACAAAATTAAAGGTCTAAAGGAACTTACTTTTAGGAAACCAGGTCTTCTCTGTTTTTACCACATCTTCTTTTCTATTTTTCTTTCTAACTTGCAGTCAGGTGGTAGAATATATCTGCCACATTAACCTGTAATTCAGGTAATCTTGGCAAGTAAATATATGGCTAGAGAGACTTAGACAGCCGTATGAAGTGAGTAGAAGGCAGGCTAGAGCTGCACCTTACAGACTATCTAAATCAGATGTATAAGCTCTTATGGGCACAAGCTCACTTCATCAGATGCTGTGAAAGGACATGCATAGAGCAGTTTATCGATGGATGATGTAATATAGTATCTATTAATTCAAAGTCTTCAAATATAACTATAGAATATGGTTTGTAAGTCATGTTGCCTATGCAGGACTACAAATCCTGTTTTTGCAGGATCTGTCTCTGATTTGTAGCTTCCAGTGATTCAAAGAATAATGTTCTAATCTTTCTTTTGGGGTTCACATGGGAAGTGTGGTACAGCTATAGGCAGCCCCTGTAGACGCAATGCAATTTTCTGTGGTGTTCAGTGTTAATCTTAGCCTTAAAATGTTACTTGGAATAACCAGCTGCACATGTGAGTAATGCAACAGCCACTGTGCTAGATAGGATGATATGAAGACATTAGTCTAACACATTAGTCAGAAATTTCAGTGACCAGGACCATTTGGGCCTAGGAGACTGTTATAGTGTCAGTACTGTGGAATGGAATAGCAGGTGTGACAGACTATATCGTTTTATTGTAATATTAACCACTTGCCTGTCAAGAATGGGGGGGGGAACAGGTGGGGATTGAGCCCTGTGCCTCTTTTTCCTCACCCCCTGTCTGGGCCTGTTTCCCACTTCCTTCCTGCTGCTTGGGGTCCAGGCCTGCTCCCTAACTCTCTGCTGCAGTGGTGGGGGGAACACAGGAGCGGGTCTGGGCCTGAGGGTGGGGAGAAGCTGGGCCTCTGTCAGGGGCAGGGAAGCAGTGGGCCTGGGAAAACCTTGGAGGGGGGGGGGGGCCACCCCCCCCCCCCC